TCAAGCTCTCCATTCCAGTCATTATCCCTGTGCTGTTGATCCCACTCTGAGCTTATAAAGTTTCATTTCATCTGGAGCGCCAAAACCAAACCAATGCTGCATACAGTAGAACCATGAGTGGGAAGTAAAACAGGTTAACTGCACACTACCTGCCCAGTGTGAAAAGAACAGGGAGCCAAAGAACACAAACTGTATAAAAGAAAGTCAAGTAAAGAATTAGCATTCCAAAGACAGAGATATATTTTTTCTACAGTGTTGGTAGACCAAACAAGGACTGAACATTATGGGATATTGGACTTAGATTTAACAGGTGGCCAGAAAGGGGACTCCAAATATTGCTTCGTATTTGCTAGATACATATGCAAGAAATATGGCAGTTGTTAGCTACAGGACAAATCATATAAAACTGATAGGCTAACTGCTGTCATTCTGACCTCTAGTGGTAAAAAATGGTTTATATTTAATGCTGTATATACCGATATGTGTCACCTTTCATGCTGATAAAGCACTCTTATTTTATATGCAAATGTGCAGACTGTGCACCCAATATAAAAATTAGATTCTAGTATTTTTTTTTTTTTACATGTAATTAAAAAGCTTCATTTACAGAGTAAGCTAGTCTCAACACTAGTGAAGAGAACTTCAAATACCACACACACTGCCCCTCTGTTGCTGTAACAAGAACAGAGTCAATATACCGTCAGCTTATCAGCTTCATGTGGCTAACGTGTTAGCAAACCATATCCCATTTATCGGGGTAGCAGATACAGCAATGTGAACATTGCATTGGAGTCACACCTCCCTCCACATGATCCAGCCCGCTCTTAATTTATCTCTGGCTCTGTCCCAATATCTGAACTTCTAGGGTGTGTTCTGACCGATTTTAAAGTAGTGCAATTACATATAAAGTCAATGGAACAACTCAAGTGGCCAGTGCGACTAAATTAGGCAGTGCGGTGTAGACGCCTATATAAGTCTTTTTCATGAATTTAAAAAGACAAGAGAATTTAGCAAGAGTTCACATGTGCTTAGTTGGAATGACTGCTGTTTAGACTGCAAAAGTCAAATTTGGGTGAATAAAACAAGGTGAAAATCACATCTTTAGATTGTGTTTCTCCCTCTCTTTGTCAGCCACTTTTTTTTACATTAGCAGTTCACCACTCGACAATGGGAACACAATCAGCTTTTCTGAGCTAATGTTTGGGAGCGGCTGCCCAGGGTTTTATATGGGGTGTCTTTCACAAGCTTTAGGGGTTCAATCATACAGAGGGAAGGAATTAAATCCATGAAATTAACATGCTAAGTCGGTGTGGATTCTCAGTGGGAATGTCTGAACTAACAACCTTTCACATTACAAAGTGTCATTTTTAAAAAAAAAAAGCACAAAAGCAGTTTTAAAGGTCTCATATAGTCTAAAGGTAGACGTCCATGTGTTGTGTGATCATAAAGCAGGTCTAGGTTCTATATTAATACTGTGAAAGTATCAAAGCCTCAGTCCACAGAGAAATGCACACAGCCTGTATTCAGAAACTGAGCCTTAAAACCAGCTGCCAGTTCTTCTGTAACTTTGTGATGTCATAACAAACCGCTCTCAGCCATGCCGCAAGCCCCACCCACCTGGACCCACTATCCAACCTTGCAGGATTTGGTGTCTGTGAGTGTTTACCTGAAATCTGCTCTGAGACTCTGAGCCTCTTTTCTACAAATACAAATATATCTTCTTATGGATCAAAACTTCAAATACAACACTGGAAAAGTGTAAAATATGGGACCTTTAAAGACGAAACAAAACAGAAGATTTTTACACGATTACTTATTTAAACGAAATTTAAACGTTATTTAAAACAAGAACATAAAACCCATCTGTGTGTGACTCTGAGGCAGTTTGTGATCTGTGTCTGTTCAACAGCGTAATGCCTCTTTGTCATGCCTTCACGCCGTTCTTGAAAATGTGTCTTTGCAGTCAGTTCATGTTCTGATCTCCTCTCAGCCGTCTGTCAGCCTGTGTGCTGCTATTACACAACAACCCCTCAACGCAAAGCACACAGCGTGCATTCTCCCTGAGGTCTATTCAAGACCCCCTCATCTGGTTCAAAGTCTAGGCTCTGTACTTTGGTTTTACATGAGGGTTTTACTTTCTGCTCGATTGTTATCGCTCTTCAAAGTTCTGCCTGAGCGCTGCTGACAGGAGCAGCCAAAACCGTCGTCTTCATCAGGGGCAAAAACCACAAGCATCACAGATACACAAGGAGCAATTACCACAGGAAACTATTTCTCACACACAGACACACGCACACACACACCTTTCACACACCTCCAACCTAAACATCAGCATGAAGAAAAGAAACTCCAAAGTCAAGATGTTCAACACAAAAATGTAAACTTTTTAGTCCAGCTTCTGGCATTAAACTTTAACAATGCTTCTTTCTCACTAAATTGCAATCAATTATTATGCAATGTGCATTCTACACATCGTGTCTTCAAGATAAATTGCTGACATGTATTTTGGGATTCAAATTCTGCCAAAACGAAGTCTCAAACTCAGTCTTACAGAACAGCAACAGCTTCTGAAACGTTCCTTTAAATCGTAAGTGGATGTTCATTGTTTATACTCAGCATGACGGACGCTTGGCTACCTCGCTTGAGTGACTATTTTCAACACTTTAGCACCACTTCATTATTTCAACCACAGCTCTACTGGCAGAGTCAAGGCATTCATTTCCCACAGCTCGCCATGTGCCCACAGACCTACACGCCTCGGTGCCAGCTGTTTGTCTTCGCCACTGGACAGCTCAGCACGTCCAGGAAAAGCCATCCACGATGCGCTAGAAGTGTCTCTACAGTGTTACTTCCCAGCAGCACAGGAATTATATTGGTTAATGTAAAGTATGTCTGTGCAGTGCTGGGCAATAATATTGTATGCGTGTATGATTTCAGTGTTGAAAGGACTGTACTACAGCACATGACATCATCTGGATCAGTGGTCCTCAAAGTCGGGTCCAGGGATCCCCAGGAGTCCTTGACGGGCTCCCTGGGCGTCCCCAGCGAAAAAAGGAATCATTTATTGTCATTATAATTCCATCCATAAGTAACACAATGACACGTATGACTATTTTTCTCATGAGTTTCAAACACTTTCTGTGATAAAACATCTAAAAGCAAAAATCTTATCAGATGGGGGACCATGGGGACAAATGGGGGTCCGTGGTCTAATTTGTGTCCGTTTAGGGGTCCTTGATGTGAAAAAGTTTGAGAACCACTGATCTAGATCAGGGCTGCTCATACCCCAGGGGGCACTTCTGCAGTTGCCAGCCTAGGTCAGTTGTAAAACTTTAATGTTTGCAAGTGTGTGAAGACTAGTTCGCAAGTGAACAAGAAATCAAACTAGGTGGCTACTTGAAATGGATAACCACACCTAGTGGTGGGGCTACAAATGCAAAACTTCTGAAAAACAAAAGATAAGCTTAAACAACAGGCTCAGGATCACAATATCTACATTTTTATGTGATTAACAGTATTAAATATCTCGCAGTTTGAAAATCAGTTCAAATGAAAACATTTGGATGGAGACGGGTGGTGCTGATGAAGGAGCACTGGAGCTCATGTGATCGGGCTGCAGGAGTATGTAACACAAACAAGGTTGGGAAACCCTGACCACACCAAAAAGCACTGGAAACGCACATAAAGGCATGTCGGACGGGGATAACATAAGGCTGTGGTTTGACTGAGCAGCTCTACACAAAATGAAAAGGGACCTTATTAACTTTGAAGTTACAACAGTGAAGCAAACATTTCTGAAAACTTGCATCCTATTATGTTCATTCTACTGCATGTCTGATGAAATGAACTCTGTGCCAGTCTTTACAAATGTGTTTATTACACATACAAAACTAACGCCATATCAACACTATTCATGATCACCTCCAAATAATTGTCACCAAAAAACGCTGACATACCGGAGGCTATTTACAGCCACAGTTTGGCATCAGGACAGACTGAGACCACATCACAATTTTTAAGGCAGGATGTGTCTGCCATAATTAGTAAGAGTTGAGGCGCTGACATTTTTCCAACATACAGAGCTCAGAAGACTTGTTCAAATATATATATATATATATATAGGCTACACATTCAAATATACAGTGGGGGTCCAAAAGTGAGACCACTTTTCCATGGGAAAGATGTCTCACTTTTCACTGTATCAGAAAGTGTAAATTCAACTCTGATGGGTATGGATTTACATAAACACAGGCAGCTGTATTATTTCATCATAAGAAATAAATGTAACCCTGATTAGCCTGCAGTGGGAAGTGAGCTACTGGGTCAGACAGAGCAGGGGGAAAAAAATCAGCGCAGGTCACAGGTCAGTGACCACATTCCACAGGGCAGAGAGCAAAGCCTCGGGCTGTAGAACAGTATCACATGTAACAACTTATATCATATACTTAATTCAAATTATATACAAATGTAAACACTCACCAAAGTGGGCAGAAGGAAGGAACAGGAAATCGTTTCCATTACATCACTGCAGGTAGAATCCCTGTGTTTTGTCACGGAGTGCGAGCATGACTGAACTTGGACTTTTCTGAGTTGCCCCTGGCAGTCATTATGGTGAATGAGTTACCCCCATTCACTCACCGAAGCTGTGTTTGAATGCCTAATGTCAGAGCAGGTATGACACACAATATACCTGGATTAATGGTTGTGTGCTGACCGCTGCCTGTACTCTGGTCTATTGTGTGAACTGGCTAAAACACGCTTATTATTGCTGCTGATAGTCTCGGCTGTGGTTTATCTTCATTCACTCAGTTTATGTTTAGTTCATCAGGTGGAGGCAAAGGTCGAAGATTCTTATCTGAATCCTCGAGGAAGTCCGATAAAAAAAAAAATAGTCAGTTTATAAATCAGACACGTGCAATGTGCAAGTCAGTGAGAACAACCTGATCAAACACCCGGTCTGCAACAACTCTTTAGCCAAGTCGTGTTTGTCAACTTCTTACCTTCCTCAGAGTCTCTTTCTTCTTCTCCTCTTCATGTTGGTGAACTGGCATTTGCAGAAAGTCCTCTTCACAGCAGATGAAGCTCACCGTGCATCCCATCCGAGCAAAGCCAGGGCGCACACGTCCAGACCCATTCAACGCCTCAACGCTCGGTCCCTGCCTCTCACGACGCTGCTCTGTGGTTGAAGAGTTATTATTGTGGCTTTATTCCGCTCGAACACAATACACAATGCGATCTGCGCGGCAGCTCTGGCATCACTGCGGGCATCAGGAGAAAAACAAACAAACAAACAAACAAACAAAAAAAACAAGCTTGCATGCAGGAGATTCCCGCTGTTGTTTTCAGCCACCACGCGCTGACTGAGAGCCAGTCTGAAATGAAGTGACCTCCCACTGCAGAGAGACTGGAGGACGAACAGGTAGTTCTCCTGCAGAGACCCAACAACACGCTGGAGTGAAAGCGCTCTCTCTCTCTCTCTCTCTCTCTCTCTCTCTCTCTCTCTCTCTCCTTTACATTTCTGTTGCCATATGGCTTTGTGATTGGTGGTTCAGGCTGTCACTCACAACTAACACTGATTGTTTAATACCCTTCAGAATAAAATCCATCACTTGGCTCTATTTTAATTATTTGATCCCAGACACTGTAAAAGAAAAGGACACGTGAGCTGGTGCGTTCATTAGGCCTGGAGAGTCTACAGAGATGAGACGTAGCCTCGGCTCGTTCATGACCTCCAGACCCAGCTGCTTCACCAAACCACTGGACTGAGGTCAGCTGCTGCACAGTGCAGGGAAGCCGGTGGAGTCTGATGAGGTCAAGAGCTTTGTTCTTGTCATGCAAGTATGTCTCCCCCTGCTGGGTGATTGATGAAGTATTATTCATAAGCAATATATTTTATAGAGCTTAATATATAAGTGCTATATTTGAAGTCCGTTAACGATTGCATGTAAATACATTTATATAATCCAAGCCTAACTAATAACATTAATTATGGATGCAGCCTGTTTTACAGTGACAGAGCGAGTATTGGCAGAGCACACCAGAGTGGAGCAGAGCTATCATTAAAGTTATTAGATACACCTGTGGTTTTCCTGCTTCACCACATCAGTGTCCATCAGCCAAACATCCAGAGGAGAGTATGCTCCCTTGAGATGCTCAGTATGTAACAACACTGAGTACACCCCTGGTCAATATCAATAAAATGTTAAGTAATTACAAATCCTGTCCATTTAATACAATTGATCGGTTTTTAGCCAAAGCTGAAAAAGAATGAGGCAGATTACAGAAGGTTCTTTTGAGCTGGTCTTTGCTGCAGGGGGTTTTGCTGTTCTACCTTCCACTTTAAAGTACTCCAAAGGTTTTCTGTTGAATTCAAGTCAGGGGACAAACACTTCACCCACCCTGTTGAACAAGAGACCATTTTATTTTCTTTAAAAGTTACCAGCAAATTCATGTAACCACATTATTACCCAATCCTTATTTCATTCTTAGAAAAGCGCAACATTCAGCAAAGCATTGCTGGGTCTTGTCTGTGGGAACAATGAGCATTTATTATGTCATCTTTGCGGTCAGTGGTTCCTCAGTTGCCTCAAAACATTAAGGGCAACTTTGTGTTGTCCTTTTTTTTTTAACAATGATATATATAGCCTTTTAAAAATATAATATGTATGAGCATAAACATTAGTTTCATTTTTACATTCACATTCATTATAGTAAAAGTTTGAGACCTGCTACTACAGTCTCATTTCTACATATAGTATGATAGACATTTCTTAAAAATAGGTATAAACAGTTCTTTCATTCATATGCAACATTTGTATTCAAAGCAATCTGCAAACACAAATTAAACTGCGTTTTCACATCTTCTGTCCACAAAGCGAAGGTTTACTGGTTGGTCTGGAATCAGGACAGTACGGCTGATGCATTTCACCTTTCCCATTGTGGGGTCAGGTTTGATTTCAAACAGCCTGATTAGCTGAAAAAAAAAAAAGAAATATGGAGTTACTGAGGTCACTTTATTAAAGACCTGACATGGCAACACAGTTGGGTCCTACAGTAATTTTTTCATGTGACTAACTTGTTAACTCACTTGTGGGAGTCCTCACAGTTTCACTGTTGATTTGTAGCAGCAATGTTTACATCAGATATTGTGCATTCAGTAGATGGTTTTCCCACTCGACACTTACTTGAAAGAGAACCATATACATCTCAAGCTCAGCAATCCGGCGGCCGACACAGCCTCTCACTCCAAAGCCGAACGGGATGGAGCCAAATGGGTTCGGCCTCTCACGGCCGTCACGGAGCCATCTCTCCGGCTTAAATGTGAACGGCTCTGGGAAAGTGTCTTCATCATGACTGATGGCATAGTGACAAAACGCGAAAGAGGTCTGGAGAAACAACAGTTTAGATAAAATACTTAAATTCGGATCTATAGATATAGGCATATACAGCCCTTTATTTGAAGTGAGGAATAAAAATGTTCTTACTTTTATTTTACGCATTTCAGGTGTTTTATCTAGCGCTAGTAACACCAGGTCGGTGAGCCAATCAGAAGACAGGAGGCTCTGAGCCTCTCTTCTGATTGGCTGACTGTTTTCTGAGTGATCAAATAAAAACAAAGCAGATTTCAGTAAACACTAAGAGAAACCAAATCCTGCAAGGTTGGATGTTGGGTCCAGGTGGGCGGGCTTGGGGCATGGCTGAGAGTAGTGACTGCTTTTTTGTGACATCACAAAGTTACAGAAGTCCTGACGGCTGGTTTTACAGCTCAGTTTGTGAATACAGGCTGTGTGCATTTCTCTTCTGACTGAGCACTTTGATACTTTCACAGTATTAATATAGAACCTAGACCCGCTTTATAATCAAACAACACATGGACATCTGCCTTTAGACTATTAAGGACCTTTAATAGTATTATATTTAGTAAAGTAATTTCTTAGAGAAATAGATACTATTACTAGACTAAACTTTTACTGCTAGACATTATAGACTTGTAGACTTCTTTTGCAGTTATAATACAACTACACACATAACTGGTACAAAATTGGTACAAAATAGTTAAAAATGTCAAATATTGAAGTATCCTTGGTCAAGATACTGAACCCCACCTTGCCCCTGATGGCTGTTCCATCAGTGTGTGACTGTGATGTATGAATGTGTGGGTGAATGGGTGAATGTGACAAGTACTGTAAAGCACTTTGAGTGGTCAGTAAGACTAGAAAAGCGCTATATGAGTGGAAGTCCATTTACCATTTACAAAATATGCAATAACTTTTTTTAAAATAGAAAATAAAAAAAAACAGACTCACTTTCTTTGGAAATTGATATCCACCAATAACAATATTCTTTTCTGTCATGATCCTTGCATTCATGGGAACCACAGGGTACATCCTGCAAAACAAGAATGAATAATTTGTGTAAAATGATACAGAAAAATAACTGGAGGTTTAAATCTAAATTCCCTTCCAGTACCATGTATGTACATGTTTTTATATCAGTCTAAGTGGCTGCAGAAACCTATCACAAAATCATGACCTCGCACCTCAGTGCTTCCTTGACAACAGCCCGTAAATATGGCATCCGAGTGATCTCAGCAGCGGTGGGGATCCGATCTGCTGGGATGAATGTGGACCCTTCTTTGTAAAGTTTGTCCTGGATTTGAGGGTGACTGGACAGCAGGTGCAAAGTCCAAGTGAGGGTATTGGATGTCTTGATAAAAAACAAAGAAAATGCCAATAAGTAAACAGGCAGAGAGAGACGTGTACCTTGCATTTATGTTCTGCGAGTGGGGTGTCTTTGGGCTACATTTATAAGACTCGTAAATTGATGGCATAAGGAGTTGGCTTGAGTTAAGAAATAAGCATGAAAACAACAGATCTTTTTCTATCACATTTACCGTATCCACTCCTGCTAAGAGAAGCTCAGTGATGCTGCCGTACACATCCTTGAGGCTCATCTCAGTGTTTGAGAGGAGGTATGTCAGGTATTCACCCTTCACATCCTGGCTGTTGTCTACACACTGCTGAATAGCCTCCATCTTCTTGTCAATCAAGTTTTTAGCTAGAATAAATGCAGAAATGTGTTTCATTTTAGTATATGAACAAAACATAATGGTAACCTTTTAATTTACAGGCTGTTAACTATGTAGTAATTATGTGGTAATGTGAAGAAATTGCCAAGAGTTACTGTAAACTATTGGGTAATTACAGAGTACAATTGAAGCAGAATAAAGAGGGTTGGTATATTATTACTGGATTGCACAGGCTGTTAGCAGGTAATACCAAGTCTCATATTCTAACTGCATGTCAACATTGTTGTTGCTCAAAGTAAACACAGCAGCCAGTTTCCTCCACACTGTCAAGTACATTCAGTAAATAAACCTAATGTATTTGTAACAGTCTGACCTTTCAACTGTGAAAAAAGTGCAGATAACTTTTCATTCAACAATCAAACTAATTTTGATACAGCACAATTGAAATACAACAGTTGACTACTGGATCTGCTTTACTTGGTAATTACTTAATTTCAGATTACAATTCTCTGTTACTTAGATTTTACTCATTTGGCTATTTTTTAAAAGTTTTTTTTCTATTATGTAATCAATGGTCTTTAAATCAAAGGTTGGTATATTTGGTTTGGTATATTTCTTTGAATTTGAAAAAAGTCATAATATTTCGAGAAAAAAGATTCGAGAAAAATATTACAAGAAATAAAAATGTAAAATTTTCGAGAGGAAAAAAAACAAAAAACAGAATAGACTCAGTTTGTTCACAATCTTTTCAATGTCCTGATGATGATATTTCAATTTTATTCCCAAAATTAATACTTAATTCTTGTATTTTCAGATTTTCCTTCCTCAAAGTGGCCCTAATACTCCGTCCTACACAAGCGCACGCACGTCTGTAAAAGTCATGGCAACAGAACGGTGACGCTTGACCGAGGTGACGTAAGAGCTTCAGACCTGTCCACCTTCTCATTTGCACTTGGACTTGACCTGTGTTAACCCGATGCAAAACTTGTCTGTTGGAAAGTTAAACTCTTGAACAGCGAATCCCCTGGAAAAAACCTCCCGGATAAACCTGACACCTGACAACAAACACCTGGAAAACTACACTGAAGAGACACCTGCGGAAAACTACTGTAAATTTCAGCTGCTGAAGACCATGGCTTTGGATGGACCCCCCATGGAGGAGCACCTGCTGACCCGGGCACGACGGTGGATCACCTCCTTTGCAGGTAAGACATCTTCTAATTTTATGACAAATACATTAATTAATCACAAAAATGTGGTTTCAGTATAAAATTAGCACAAAATTAGTTTAAGTTGTTGAATATAAAGATAAAAAAATAATAGAATGTTAGTCGGTCTGTTAGGAAAATATAGTTTTGAGTGATACTCGACGTTTTCTTGTTGTAAAACTTTTATTAGACTGTAAGAACGTGCTCAGTTTCCCGGGTCAGGTGTGGAGTGTGTTAACAATTGTGTATTGACTTGAAAATATTGTTATTTTCGTTTGATTGCACCAAATTCTCCAAATTTGGCGTCGAAAATTTAGTAAAAAAGATGGCGACTGGGCCTTTTTTTGAAAAATGCCAAAAAATATATATTTTTGTGACCATGGAGACGATGGAACATAGCCTACGTCGGAACCTCAGAAGGTGCAGGCCGAACCAGACCAGGGTGCGTTCCCTTTGTGTGGAGAGCCCAGTTTGCTTGTTAGGATTGAAGTTAAGCTTCAAATGTTCATAGACTTTTTCACATTTTTAACTTATTCTCAGACTAACTCCCAAAAACGCGGCAACAGACCAGTCTTGTCATAGAATAAAAGTGGCTATGAGAGTCCAGTGATCAACTCTTACAGCTTGTACTTGACATGAGGAAATGTCAATTTAATAATTTCCATAAGAACTGTACTGAATTGCGATTTAGTATTGTCGCTTTGGTGGAGATTATGAGAGCGGTTTGTCCTGATGAACTACATGACAAACCACTCTCATCTCCCACTGTCCATCCTGCTCCCTGCGTCCAGCCCGCATCAGCCTCCTACATGCAGCTCATCAGCAGTAACAGCAGCATCGAGAGACTAGTCTGCTTCACACTATAGCTCAGAAAGGTTATTGTGGAGAAGCCCTGTTGTTGTTGATGCATGATTTAATTAAAATGCCCGTCATTCAGCTGTGCGTAATGACGCACGCACTTCTGCTGTCCTCATCACATGCCTTCATTAAAAAAAAGTGACATTAAGTGTAATTATCAGTCCGATATCTCAGTAATTTATACAACTTATCATAAATAGATGAGTTCACAGTTCAACCACCTCGCAAGGTGCGTTATGCGCATGTTCTGTATTTTTATGCACAGATGGTACAATGTAACATTTACCCTCTCTGCTGCTGTGTGTTAAGAGTTAACTCATATAACATTTATATCTTTACTAGTAGATTGGCCTATGTGGAATATGTCTAAAATAATTAGGCTTTAGTTTTGAAAATTATATGAGAGTTATTTATTAGAGATGGAAACTTCCTGTGAGGGGTTAGAAGCAGTCTGCACAGAAGTTTTGAAAATTAATCTTTATGGTGTTAAAGTCTTTATGGTGCAAAGGAGAAACTTTTCTCAAGTGCCTTAAATCATTTGATGACCTGGGAAGCAGACTATTAGCAATAGTCTCTCCTCTCTCCGCCTGCACCCAACACGTTGTGGATGTCCAGTTTTCACGTTGCGATCTTATTAAAAGGCTTTGGCTCTGGTTGGTGGACTCTGAAACCAGATTCAAGGTAACGCGAGCAGAGTGGCGAGCTCATTGTCAAGCGATGCTAAAAATGTGTTTACAATTAAATGTTTCAGGGAGCCACAGTGTTTTGCACACACATGGTTTTATAATCTGAGATAAACTGAGGCGCCGGTGATGAAGTTGTATGACCACATTCCTCCTTTAAGTGATGAATCATTTTGGACCATGACTGTGGCCATGCTCTTATTTTAGGATGGCTGGTGCAGTTAGAGTAGATGTGAACACAATCTACGCCAAACATTATTATTTACATCTTCTGTTTTTTAAATAAATGTACAATGTTACATGTTTATTCTTTTCTCCCCTCAGGCGGCTTTTGGCGTTCCAACAACGAACACCCTGATGCTGCGAGTCCTCCTGCTGACCAGGATGGAAGATCTCCGTCTCCTCCGCCCCAGCAGCTCCCATCACCACCCTCCAGGATGGAGGGGCAACAACCTGGTCCTAGTGCTAGTTTAGCAGTTCCGCATCCTGTTCCTCCTCCTTTCCCACACGCTTCTCCTCTTTTGCCTCCTGCTCCCGCTCCTTTCCCGCATGCCGCTCATCTTTTGCCTCATGCCGCTCCTCTTTTGCCTCCTGCTCCCGCTCCTTTCCCGCGTGTTCCTCCTCCTTTCCCACACGCTTCTCCTCTTTTGCCTCCTGCTCCCGCTCCTTTTCTGTGTGTTCCTCCTCCTTTCCCACACGCTTCTCCTCTTTTGCCTCCTGCTCCCGCTCCTTTCCCGCATGCCGCTCATCTTTTGCCTCATGCCGCTCCTCTTTTGCCTCCTGCTCCCGCTCCTTTCCCGCACGCTGTTCCTCTTTTGCCTTGTGCTCCCGCTCCTTTGCTGCACATTCCTCCTCCTTTCCCACATGCCGTTCCTTTTTTCCCTCATGCTCCCGCTCCTTTCCCGCACGCTGTTCCTCTTTTGCCTCCTGCTCCCGCTCCTTTGTTGCACATTCCTCCTCCTTTCCCACATGCCACTCCTTTTTTCCCTCATGCTCCCGCTCTTTTCTTGCTCGTTCGTCGTCCTTTCCCGAATGCTGCTCCTCATGCTGAGGTCAACGTTGGTCGGGAAGAAGACAGGATTGTCATCCCTTGTCTTGAACCTGAGACCATTGGACCATCCTTCCTTGACGACAGCTCTTTGGAAGAGGCCTCTCCCTCGACTTCTGGTCTCAGCTCCTCCACGAAAAGGGACAGAGAAGACAGCGACCAGGAAGAGGCTGCAGCGAAGAGGCCGAGGTTGTCAGATGACAGCGACTCAGACTGACTCTAAAGGACTTCCATACCTTCTGGAAACAGCAGAGTATCCTTGAGTCAACCTTTTTGCCTTCATTGCTGACTGACCGCAGCTGTCAAGGAGCATCAGGCAGAGTAAATGATTACCAGGCCTGCCCTTGCGTCTGGCAGGGCTGTTGACACCTCAGGTAGTGTCTTGCATTGGGGGGCATCTGTCTATCATTCCCTCATGTTGGCAGGGTTGATGTTTTGTCTCTTTTCAAACCCTGAGGGCTGGCCTTTGCATTTGGCAGGGCTGTAAATGTCCCAGGTAGCGTCTTGCAAAGGGCTTTTTTGTACTTTTGCACATTTTGGTACGGCGGCTGCATCAACCTTTCTTTCTTTCTGGAGGCAGGCCTTCGCGTCTTGCAGGGCGAAGTACCATTTTCTTGGTTGTGCATTTAAAATGAATGATAATGATAATAATAATGATATTCCTTTTCACAGCACTACTTGCTCCTACTGGCTCCTACTGGCAGGTCTGCAGTGTGCCAGCTGTCATGTCCTCCCAGTGAAGCTAATCAATGGCACAAGAAAAGGATTGACTGGCAGCACCGTGTGTCATGGAGGGAGCACATGGCTTTCTGCAGTCCTCCCCAGGTGAAGAGCGCTGCACTGCACAGGGATGGAGAAGAAGAGCGGGGAAAAAAAGCTCCCAAATCAAGAAGACAAAGCACTTTACTTTCTCACCACCTTTGCTTGCTAATTGATTGCATCGATGCAATATGAGCAAACCTCAGGGAACATAATGACCAGGAAAGCTCCCCAAAGGCAGTCTGGGTAAAGTCTGCCTAACCTTGATTAGGATGCCACCTGAATGCGTTCCTTCAGAGGTCTGAAAATGCATTCATGTTGCTAAAAAGTTGTCCGGCCTCCTCCCACACTCCAAACATGCACGTTTATGTTATTTGGTGTCTCTAAATTGCCCATAAGTGTGAATGTGAGTGTAAATGGTTGTTTGTCTCTATATGTCAGCCCTGTGATACACTGGCGACCTGTCCAGGGTGTAACCCCACCCTTGACCCAATGTCAGCTGGGATCAGCTACATCCGATCCAAGCTGACCGAGGGCAAAAAAGGTGAGTATCAGCTTCTGACTGTTTATTGTTTATCCTTGTATTACGCATATTTATTGTTACTGTTATTATCTACTTGATAATTAGTCTCACTAACCATGATTTATTTTGCTCCCCCTCTGCCTCCTGAGCTGCTGCTGTTCACTGAGGACAGAAAAAAGTGAGTACGAGCTTCTGACTGGAAGAAACTGATCTAGAATAGTCTTTACTATAAAAACAGAGCTACACACTGTATGCTACACTTGTTTATACATATAATATCACTTGTTGTGTAATAATTCATTAAGACTTTATTTGTCTGTCCCACTAACCATTATTTATTGTTCTTCCTTTTTACCACCTGAGCTGCTGCTGTAAACTGTGGATGAAAAAGGTGAGTATGAGGTATACTAACTACATGCCTGTTTATTCATATTCATATAATGTCACTAATTTAGCAGTTCAAGGACAATTTGTTTGTCTGACCATTATTTTTTTCTCTGTCTCTCACTCACACTTGACACTTGAGCTGCTGTTTACTGAGGACAGAAAACGTGAGTATGAGCTTCTGACTTTTTCTTCTGAAAATTACGTAGAATATAATATAATGTAGAGACAGTAATGTATATAAATGTGTATACTAGCGGCATACCTGTTTATTCATGTAATATAACTATTATTAATATTATTTATTGTTCATCTTTTTTACCACCTGAGCTGCTGCTGTAAACTGTGGACACAAGGACGACTACAAAGGACTGTCCCCCCCTGTAACTCTCTCAGAGAAACATTATTTTGTTAAATAAGAGAATAAAAATATTTATTAGGAGTTTAACAGTGTGTGGACCCACTCTTTTGTATACTGTTTAGCTGAAGGAAATTATTTACCATCCTGCCTTAAATGTCCTTGAATCCCTAGTTTTTAGTGTGAGGTACAGCTGTGAATCATCAGCAAAGAAGTGACGAAGAAACTTCTCACAGAAGTCCAAGGATGCTTCAACATCATGGGAGATACGTGAAAAGGAATTTTCGATATGTTCACCATGAGAATGAATGTCTCAGGGTGAGAGGACAATATGAGGCCCTAGGTCACAGTGCCATATCTACTGCATTAAATCTTACAGGAGGAGACACTCAGGCAGCTCCTCCTGTGGTTTATGCTGATATTTCTGGTGCCACAATTGATAACAGAAGACCTTGGATGGTCAGTAACAAGTGGCTTGGTGTTCTGAGACCAGCACCTGGGCGTGTGTAATCATGTTCGCTTGTTTATGGTTAATGGACCAATAGAAAGACCACCGTTGATAAGTTTCTCCCTAACAATACGGGGGAACTTTTGTCCCTGAACAGAGTTTTAGGTCTGTGAGAAGGTTTGCTGATGATCTCAGAGAAATATTTGGCTCTGGCTTTTTTTGGCTGCTGTTTGGAAGGTGATGATGGACTTAAAACTGATCTTTATTAAAAACAAATTCTCAGACTAAAATGCTATTTTGCACTGTAAAAGTTTTCGGCTGCTGTGTTTATTTTGGGCGACAACAATGTTGACATGGTGACTGAACTAATATATGAGACTTGGTATTACCTGCTAACAGCTTCTTTACAATGCAATAAGGGATATTAATGTTTTAGATATTAATGGTAGCCTATACAGAGAAGACCCTGCCAAACTATTCACTATAATTAGTTCCCATATAATTACAGACCAACCCCTTTATTCTGCTTCAATTTTACTCTGTAACTGGCCAATATTTCACAGTAACTCCCAGTAGTAATACTACTACAATTTGAAATTATACTGAATTTACTTGACTGTTATTTCTTGGTAATTTCTTCGCATTACTACATAATTACTATATGAACACCCTGTAAATTAAAGGGTTACAAAATGAACTCCTAACCAGCTAACCCCGTCTTGTCACTTTCTGATACGAGTCACTGTAGAGTTTAATTTGCCCTGAAGAAACAGCGCTACTCAGATGGCAAACTATAACCTCTTGTATTGTAAACTCCGATGATCAAATGACCATCATCACCACCTGCTCCCGCCAAGAAAGCACATTCTGCAGCAGGGAGAACTTAAATTTAGCAGTTCATTAAAAAATTAACTTCAATTAATGACCTTTACCCAAACACATACAACAAATATATAACTAAGAAAGTCACATCACTATAAGATTTAAGCATTAGCTCGCTAAAATCAGCAGCTTGTTATCTGTTATAGGACGAATTAGCCTTGTGAAGCTAGCTGGTAGCTAGTTGGTACAAGGATCACCTTACTGTGTGGGTCATTGATGAGTTAGGGTTAGCTATTAACTAAAGATGCATGCATGTAAAGATTGCAAAAATCTGCTACTAAACACAACTCACAGAAGCTGAAGATGCCATCCCAGCCAGCGATGTAGCGTCCCCAGTACGGTAGTAGATTACGGCTCCATTTAGGCAGTACGAACACAGCCATGCTGTTCGTGAACATCTGAGATATGGCATTAATAAAGTCATGTGTACCTGCAGGAATTTCTTTCTCCAGACACCCAACCCTTGTCTCAAACAGAATGGAGGCAATACCTGAGTGGCAAAGGTTAAGATTTAGGTTCAGAAAAAGAAATCATCAGGAACATATGTGTAAAACTTGGCAAAAATTAACTTTAATATTTAATTCATCCATACAAGATAACAAAAAAGTCACGTTTCATTTGATTTGAATCATTTTACCCTTTACCCTCATTTTAACCAGTGCAGAAGATTTTAATATTCTCTGTGCATTAAGCAGCTTTAACTGTCTTTTAGATTTTCTATATACCTTCCAATGAGAATAGATAGAGCTCGTTGGCCATGTTGGTCACCAGATCTCCTGTTGGGCTGCACTGGCATAGATAGTGGATCCTCTTGGTGAAGTCTGTAACCACGTCAGTGATAACCTCACCATACTGTTCAGAGTCCTTCGGGTGCAGCATACGCTTGTTCAGCATCACCCTCAAGTTGTACCACTTGTCCCCCTCCCTGGGAACAGAAGCAGAGGCACAGTTTTTTGTTTCGTCATGGTTTAGGTTTCCATTCGGGTGGTCCTTCTGTATTCACCCATGGTTTCCGATGCAAATGTCAAAAGTGGTTGCTGTTGGTAGCCATCAATGCACAGGAAAAAGAAATTAGCTCTGTGCCACATTGTCATCAACAGTGTTAAAGAATATTGTGTCATGTAAAGTTATAGCCCATTTCCTGCTGTCCACATGGATGACATACAGATGGGTTACATATTAAAGGAACAAGGGAACATGGGCTCACTGAATGCTTTAAGAATCATGAAAATCAGTGATGATTTGCTTTGTGTGTTCTTGTTGTCTCCAGCGTTGGAAATATGATACAATTTGAAATGTTTAAGTTATGGAGGAACATGTGGAGACGGTGTGTATGGTAATATTTCTACATGTCTGAAGTGAACACTTTCAACACAGTTGGCTTGAAAGCCTCAATGCTTCAACAAGGCTTCACCAACATAATGGCCCTCACAGTCTCGAAATCTCAACCCAACACCTATGGGAGATTTTGGAATAATGTGTTAGGTTCCGTGTGACTTAAATTTCATCGTTAGAAGATTTAAGTGTGGCTTTTTTTATGTGGACGTCCATGTACCCTCCAATTTGATAGATGGTTTGCGTTAGCGTAGCCTGCGATGGACTCAAATTCCCAGGTTTAATTATTGTTTCAGTCTGACCCTGAGAACAACTACCTGTCCACAGCTATCCAGGTGCACATACCCAAGGGAGTTTAATTGTGGAGTATAATTGTGCTGTGTATTGATAAATCCAGGACGCTGTCTGTGCTGCACTAATAATCTGTCAGGCACAAGTGAAGAGCCACTGACATTATTGTTGAATATTGTAGAGCTCCCTGCACTGCACCACTGTTTAAAGAAACAGTATCACATCTTAAGAAATATGCCTATTTACTTTCTTGCTGAGCGTTTGATGATTAGATTATTATCATCTTATATTAGCATTAAGTCCTGAAGCAGAGTGAAACAGCTAGCCTAGCCCTGTCCAAAAGCAACGAAATCCAGCACCTCTAAAGCTCACTAATCAACACAATATGTGTTAACTGTTCAATCTGTACATGTGAAACAAACAAGATAAAACAAGTTAATTAGTGAAGTGTAGAGGAGCTGGGATGCAGACTTTGTCGGCATCTTACTTTAAAAAAAATTTCCACCAACATCCAGTCAAAGTCTTATCTGAGACTTTGAGGTTGAAATGTCACTCAACTGATCCTATCTTCAGTAATAATTCATTCTTTGGGATTTCTAAACTGCAAATTCTTGTTCCTTTTTAGCTAACATATTTGTCAGCAACAGCCGAGCCTACTTATCAGTCAGACTTTCCTTCCCTACAACACTGAGTTGGCCTCAAGGAGATCATTTACTTAATTTCATTATTATTTGTTCACTTAACTCAAGGCTAAGACTGCTGGGAATTTAGACCTTTGAACCTTCCAGCCTGAGTCTTTTCAATACAAACTTTACAGTCAGTCCATCCTAATCACATGACAGCACTTTGCTGTTTACACATTTGACGGAGCTTGTGAGGAAAGGGAGTATTGCTGTGCAAGTCATACAGTATATGGCAGTCTTACTCAGTGAAAGGCCCATAGCCGACTCCTTTCATGTCACGATAATCTTTCCACACAGACATGTCTCCTCGGCTGGGGAACTTCTCGTCGTTCCTCATGATTTCCTCCAGCAGCTTTGGAGTGTTCACGGACACCGACTTCAGTCCGTCTCTGTATATGGGCCCATACAGCTGCTTCTCGTAGATCTGAAAGTGAACCCAAGACACACGACTTAACAGAAAAACTTAAGTTTAAGCAATCCTATCACGCATGACGCAATAAGAAATATAAAAATAATTTAAATTTCTGTTAATATCAACAAAGTCAGAATATCTGTCCCATCAACCGAATGCATTGTGTTGTTTGACTAGAAAATACATTGCACATTTTTAAAGCCAGAGAGCAGAGCATGTGAGCATGTGTTTACCTCACAGACAGTGCTCCTGCAGAAAAGGGCTAACAATCCTCTCCTCTGTGAGAGTGATGTGGGGGTTACTATGGGAACAATGGTAATGCAACCTGCCTGAATTTTTCAATTATGCATTGTCACTGGGGGAGAATGCACTCAGAACATCAGAATCAAAACATACCCTTATGAAACCTGCAATATATTATCAAACTACACAACCAGAGCTGTCATGTTATGTCAGGAATTTCTGGAATGCATCAAAATATGCATCATTTTTGGATGCAGGTTATAACCAGGACCCATCCCCGTGTACATCGGTGTCATCCACAGACCATGCAGAGCAGTGTACTGAAGCCTGGCGTACCTGTAACTCATGAATACGGTTGTAGAAACCCTGAAACACCATTCTGTAAATCAGCTCCAAGGGGCTGACATGAGGCAGGTCCTCCACTCCACGAGGTTTGTCCTGGAAGGCGGTGGCAGAGGAAGCGCCCCTGGAGTAGACACGGGCCACAGCAATAAGGCAAGGCAGCCGCCAGCTTCCATTCCTTTGTATTTTACTCCAGGACAGCCACGCAGCCATGCTGAGGGGAGAATGGCAAATACTCCGGGATCCCGTTACAGTCAAGAGACTAGCTGAGCAAGGCGGGGCCATGTCTCACAAAACATTTAACCCTTCCAGCCCACCTCTCAAGGATCAACCAGGACCAGCCAGGTCCAAAAGCCGTTCAACTCATACATGTGTAATGCAAAATTAAATATCTGAAGAAGCCATATTTAGTGTGCTGGGTAACTACAGCGAGCAGAAAACTGCAGAACTCAAATAATATAGACCTAAAATGTTCTTTCATTTAAACTGTATTTTCTTGTAAGTCCTAACACGAGATTGTAGACTTTGAGATGCATGATGCTAAAACATGACGAGATTGAACTACACTATTAATTTCTTTCAGAGAGACCAAATAAGTGCACATTACTAACAAACTTCTTCTTGGAAAGCATATTGTACCTTCAGTTTTTAAAAGTGCTATATAAATAAAGTTTATCTGCTTCTAATGTAAACGTGAGCGATACTCCCACAGCGCACATCCAGGGGAGCCATGTGTTTGCTGCTCAAGTTTTGCAGTTGAAACATTTAAAATAGTAGAAACACTCATAATGGAAATGGAAGTGCTGAAATGTTAGATGGTGTGTAAGCACTGAAAGCAAGTGTGAAAGATGAAAGCAGCCGAAGTGTCATTTGACTACATCATTTAAGAATTTGACTTAATGGTGAGAAATAAGCAGTTTTTTTGTGTTCACTGATCACACAAACCATGAACAGCAGCAGGAAATTAAAATAACTTAGATTTAGCTGTTGTGTCACATGCTAGTCTGTCTATTAAAAAACCTGCAAATCAAATCTGTCCCTTGTAAGGAGACACTTTTGCTTACATGTACATCACGGAATGTGCCTTTAAAACTGCAGGTGAACAAACAAGAAGAAGAAAAGGTTTACATTAATGCCTCAAAACATTTTTTTCTAGGATAAATAAAGTTCTCTTAACTTTACTGCAGCGCAGGTCATTGAGCAGCTTGAATATGAGCATCTAAAGAGCCTGAAACTTTTGCTTCAACACAGCAGAAAGCTTTTTGGTACCAATCACAGACTGCAGATAGTCTGTGGAATCAAAGCATATTTATTTTTGTAATACTGTCCCTCAAGGGGAGATGTGAAAACAAGTTACTCATGTTTCTCATATCTCTCTTTATTCAGTAATCAGCCTCCAGACATCTTCCAGTCCTGTCATCCTTTTATTTGGGCAACATTGTCTATAGATCCTGCAGGGTCCATTTTGTGCAGCAGAAAGTGTCCTTGTACCTGAGCAGCACTGATCTCAGAGTGAGCGGCTAACGCGCGCTCCGCAAACCGCTCTCCCTCCGAAGCAGGTTCTTCAGGGTAAAACCGCCAGAACATCTGGGTGAGCTGCCAGTGTGTGCAGTGGCCAATGTACTGCTTCAGATCCACACGGCCGGGCCGGATCAGCGCTGCGTCTAACCTGTGTGCAGAGAGCTGGGAATCAATGTCACTGAAAATACTTCTTAATGCACGTAAAACTCACCAGTGAAATATCAAAGAACTAGGTGGCCATAGCTTGGGTTGTAATGTGCATTTTAGTTCCCCTCCAGACACTTGAACTCTGTCAAAATACTCTCCCATGATTAATATTTTGTTTCACATGGTTTTCCCACATAAAAAGTGAGAAAAAGAAAAACTCTAGAGTCTAGAAACACATGTCTGAATCTGTTTTTATGACACTGTGGCGGAAACACTCAGTCATGGTGTTTACTGATTATTTCACTCATGATATCTCTTGCATTATATAAAAAACATCATATGGATGTTGACAGGGTTAAAAACTTGGTTTTCATTGGAGGGGGTCTTAAAAAATATATAAACCTATTACAATAACTATTAATAACTTTTTCATTGATGTTGTTATTTTGTTGCTTGTTTGTTTTGTTTTTTTAACTTTAAATTAGTTTAAATATTTTAAAGCCGCAGTATTTGATTTTTGGCCACTTGGGACAGCATAACAAGCTCCAAACACAACACTTATATTATCTCCTTATTAAGTTTTTATGGTAAACCTTTGTTTGTCTACACAACCAGCAGACTTTACCATTCATGTAATTCCAAGATTTGCTCTATTTGTCTCCATCAGCTCTTGAGAAAAATAAATGCTACAGTACGAGCAGGTTTCTAACTTTGGGGCAGGTAGTCTACAATGGGTTTATCAGAGCTTTTTTTTTTTAAACTGAAAACAGCTGCCTTCTCTGAGTGGAAATGATGACAGGGTTTGAGACTGGAAAATCAAAACAAAGTCCCAGGATAGACACAAAGCTTCATAGAGCTGAGGAGAGTTTGGTGATGTGCAACAACGTTTCCTGTAAGTGCTTTCTTTATAAACGTCCTTAAATGTACCTGTCAATGAAGTTGGTGGTCATAAAAACTATTCTGGCCTCAGATGAAGCCACTCCATCCAGAGAGTTTAGGAGACCACTGAAGGTCAGTCTTCCCATTCCCTGGTAGGCCAGAGGGTCTGTGAGGAAAAGACAAAAGACAATGTCTGTCTGAGCAGCCACAGCTTTACAAGGTAGCTCAGTGGAGAATTTTAACTTTTGATGCATGACTTAAAATATCTGATGGTTCAAAATAAAGAAAAATTTAATTTCTCATCAAATTAATAACAACAATAACTAATTGTTGCAGTTAGCTTCTACAACAAAGCCAAAACCACCTTTCTTCTTCTACTTACTCTCTGTGGGAAGCAAATCTCGGCTGACAAAGGCTGCATCTACATCCTCCAACAGTATGATGCTTTGCTGCGGTGCCACACTGAGGAGGTGGTTCAGACGGTCATCAGAAAGGGTTCGGTCACTCAGACTCATCAGACATATGCTGTAGCCCAGCTCGCCTGCCAGCGCCGTGCTGAAACACAAAGAACAGGAGATGAAGACGTACAGAACATACGGACAAAAAAAGGGAAAGTAAAGGATATCTACGTGATTTAGTCCACCTTTCAGTTTTTAAGTAACAGCACACTCACATAAAGCTACTTTTACCGCATCCTGGGGGTCCATAGAGCAGATATCCTCTTCTGTAGGGGATGCCTGCAAAGACAAAGAAAAAAAAACAAAACATCATCACTGTCATGCAGATGAACATCACAGAATCACTGGAAGCTGAAAATGTTACCACATTGCGCTTTTCAAAACAGGCAATTTAACAAATAATTAAAATTATCATAGGACATATAGTTTCTGTGGTTTTGCACATCTTAGCTGATTAGCTACAGATTGCATAGGTTACATCACTGACACCATTTTCCAAGAACTCAACAATACACAACATTTCAGGCAGCCCCTGGTTTCAGCTTATGCAAGCACTGTATTAAAATCATCTTGCAGATTTGAAGCTTGACTTTCCGATTTCTTTATTTCTTATTAATTTGTTTATTTCAATGTTACAATGTTGTTTCATGTTACTGACGCCTAATACTATTACTTTCTCTTCTTGATTGGTGCATTCAAGTGCACTCTAATGCATCTATGAATAATATTAACTATCATAGTACCAAAACATGAATTATATAACCAGGTAACATAAAATTAAAATGCTCCAAGATAACTTCCATGAATAGATTTGAGTCTTGTTATATTTTACCTCTGTCTGTGTACCACTTGGGGTTTCCAATAAAGTCCTTTACATCGTCTACAATCCTTTCCGCCACACCAGACTCCAGGACCACAGAGCTGAGGGGTCTGCGTCGCCGTGGAAATCCAAAGGGCCTCCACTCAGCACCCATGGCTGTGTACATTACCGTCCGTCCCTCCTCCTGCTTCAGGGCCAGTTCTCTTGCTACAAAACATGATGGACAACTTCACTAAATAGCCACAAAATGGCTAAGGGGAACAACAAAATTTAAGTATATTGCATATGACAAGAATATTGTCAGGTATATACTGTAGACCAGTACCTTCTTGCAAGATATTAAAGAAGATTTGTCTGTCTCTGCCTAAAGCAGTGAAAGTGACGGACTCCCATGGCGTTCCAGTGTGCAGATCCACCATCTGCTTCTCTCTGGTCCTCTCCACCCTGATCCACTTCCTCCCATACCTGCAGAGCACAATGGTTGACAGTGTCAAAAGTCGTATTGATGACAGAGAGAACAGTTTTTGTCAAGCTGATTAATATACGTAGGATTTTATCTCTGTATTTTTATGTCATGCATCTTAAAACTGAAGTAAAGCTTTAAAAAAGGCTTGTGTAAAGCGTATTCATGTCGAACAAGAAATAAAGGAGTATATCCAATGAATTCCTCTGACCATATGATGTGGTTCCCAGGGCTTGGGTGGAAGTCAAACTGCGTGTGCACCCGTCCACTCTCATGTGCCAGGTAAGAGGTCTCCACGCTCAGGTGCTGAGTGTGCCTGGCGTGCTTGGTGATCCAGCTCAGCAGCCAGTTGTAGCTCTTGTCCCTGCTGGGGACCTCCAGAGTGATCATGTAGTGTCTGCGGAAGAAGATCATCCCCACCTGGGCGCCTTTCCTGGCCACTGCCAACGCTGTCCCAACCCCGACCAGTCCGAAGCCAGCCCCAAAGTATGGGTTATCCTTCAGGCCGTCCAGGAAGTCTGACAGGGGCATGTTGCTGATATCTACACTCCTCTACTGGAATCTGACTCTATATCGTTGTTATAACACTTTGTAGGAGTACAGACCTACAGACCAAATTCAAACTCATTAGCAGATCAGACGAGATAGTTCGGAGATGAATGGTATCTGACACTGGATGCAGGTGGGCAATTTAATGACAGCTGGTGTTAATTTCTAATTATTTAAAATAATGTATATCCCGCTGACCTGCCTTCCTTGTCTTCATCTCATACCGCAAGCCCGTGACCATTGTAGTTCCCACTGTACACAGTTTCGTTGTACACAGCACTGTTCATCCAACAACAATCCCCATGTGTGTAATGTATGGATATCGGTTCGTGCAGAAGTAGGAGCGACCTCTGCTACTCTTCCTGTGTTCGACGAATATCATTCCGACTGTTCGCCTGCCTAGAAATATTAGTTCCGCTTCCCTTCAAGTGTTATCTTAACATAATTTTGCTCGCAAGCTAAGTTAATGACAATGTTAGATAAATATGTTAGTGAATAATGTAGTGTGTGCATTTTGCTGTAGGAACCGCAACAGTTTAAATTAATTGCTTGCAGGAACTGAGACTTGAACATTTAGCGACCAATATGACAAGAAGCTAACGTTAGCTTAGGCAGCGGTAACGGCGATGTTGTTACTACATAGATACCAGTTTATATTATCATAAAAAAGTAAGTGTAATTTCGGATACTAACACTCAATGTAAAATAATTGTAACAAGCAGTAACGGCGGTTTACACGAGCTGAATATGCAAGCCATACCGCGAAACTGAGAAACGTTGATGGTCTGGTTTTCAGCTACAAAGCACTGCGTAAACCTGGGCAGTAGGTCGAAATTCTGTTTGTTGTTAGTAACAGAATATATGGAAATGGAGGGAAGCGTGTTTGTGTTACTGTGCTAGATATGTGTTGTTAAATCTGTATAATATTACACGTCATTATTATATGGTTACAATATATTTACAGTCATCACAGGACTGATGTGCTTTTCCTTTATTATGGAACAAAAAAAAAGTTGGTTAAAATTGGTAATATAATTACGGCCAACCCTCAAACAGTTACAACCTATGTGAATAATAACTTATTCTGTATAATGTATATTGTATTGAACTAGTGCATTCAAAAATTTTATTGAATATGAACAAATATGAGCATATATCACAAATGTCTGTCATGCCATTTTTAAAGCTTTGTTCAAATGCTCTGTTTTTTTCAGACACAATGGAGACAGACAAACCTCATCCGTGTGAAAAATGTGGAGAGAGTTTCACAGACAGTGACATGTTTGTATCTCACCCCTGTTTAAAGAGACTGATTGCTCCATCCAGTAAAGGACAACTGGGCAACTACAAATGCTCTCAGTGCGATGAGGTCTTTTCCAAGCCAGGTGCTCTGACACACCACTTCAAAACCACTCACAGTGGACACGACCCTGAAGGCCTGCTCCCCTGCACTGACCATCAGGAATATCAAGCCCACATGACATCCACACATGGTCTGATGGTCTTATTCTTATTCTCCCACGGGGTACTGCCCTGTCGCTCATAATAAGTTGATGTAACATTGAAATGTTGGCATATCTGTTTACAGGGAATGAGACTGCGTCCACAACTGTATGCACTACTGGAGGCCATCAGCCTCAGGTGTCCAGCAGGCCAAAAAGAAAAGTGAAATCCAACCCGGTTTATACATCATCATCACCAGAAGATGGGCACAAGGAACAGCCTCAGAGGGAAGGGCACAATATTAAAAGAGTGAGAAAGGCGGTCGATAGCGACACTGCTCCACTAAAATCCAAAGGTAGGTACACCAATCTGCAGAGTACAGAGAAGTGACACCATATGTCAGTGACATTTAAACACACAAGTGGTTTATAAGAACATATCAGTCAGACACACAAACATTATATTGAAGGCGACAGTGAATATCCCAGATTAATGATTTTACTCTCAGGGACAACGAGACATATTGTTCAGTGTGCCTATCCTGCTGTGACATGTCAACATGTCTCCAGCGAAAAAGGCCAATGACATTACAGAACAGTAGCTCTTTTGGTTTACTTACAACAGTGTTGACTGAAGAGTCTGACAGCACCAGGAAACACCAGAGGACAAAACACTGCAACAAAGACAAAATATGCTTTATTATTTAAATATTTCTAATGTGCAAGTATACTTGCAAACATTTCGTTCAAAATTCATGTCATATGTTCTCGTTCATTAGAGTACCTTGAAGAGGGTGCTGAGCACATCTATCGCACCCACACCTGCCCCACATGTCGACGCTGCTTCAAGATGCGGTCCCACCTGCAGGAGCACCTCCATCTCCATTTCCCTGACCCCAATCTCCAGTGTCCCACCTGCAAGCGTTACTTCACCAGCAAGAGCAAGCTACGCATACACAGGCTCCGTGAGGCGGGGGAGAAGCTCCACCGCTGCCACCTGTGTGAATATTCTGCTGTGGAGAGGAACGCAGTCCGTCGGCACCTTGTCAGCATGCATGCCGACGAGGCAGAAGATGGCATAAACAGTAGCAGCTATCCTTGCCCCACCTGTGGTCAAAGCTTTCGCCAAAGCAGGACACTTAAGGCTCACATGAAGATGCACAACATCCCACCGGACAGCAAGCCAGTGGCCTGCTTCCAAGAGGCTTGTTCTTTCCGGAGCTCTTTACGCAAAGAACTTCTCAGACACACTGTTGAAGTTCATGGGATCAAGGCAGTAGAATGTCGCCATCATGCCTGTGGAGCCATTTTTCAAAAAGAAACGGACATGGAGGCTCACTATCGGACACACCTCGCCTACCACTGCTCGCAGTGTGATTTCTCTTGCTCCAATAAAACTGTGTTCCTGCAGCACCAGCGGCACGGTCACCCAGGCAACGACAAGCTCTGCTGTGACTTCTGCTCCTTCGTCACGTTTAACCCCGTGAAGTTTGAGCAGCACATTGGACTTCTGCACGCCAACGAGAAGATCCACCGCTGTTCTCAGTGCAGCTACGTCACCTCACATAAACGTGGCTTGAAGAGACACATGCTGATGCACAGTGGTGAGGATGGAGCCGTTTGATTATTGTAAAGATTTTTTCATCACATTTTGTTGCTTGGGTAACTGTACTACTACTGTGCTACACATCACATCTCCCAATTTCTTTTTTTTTTTTTTCTTTCTAAAAGGTGAGAAGCCCCACAAGTGCAGCCTGTGTGATTTCAGGTGCAGAGATGAGTCCTACCTCTCTAAACATATGCTCACTCACTCAGACGACAAGAACTTCATGTGCGCTGAATGTGGATACGTCACTAAATGGAAGCACTATCTGAACGTCCACATGAGGAAACATGCTGGAGACCTCAGGTAGATATTTCTGTGTATATTTTTATCTGGTATTTATCCCTGCTGCGTACGAACAGATCTATCGGACATGATGATGTTTTTTCAACCATGTCCTGCATATTTCAGTCTAATTCAATTTAGCTGAAAGCCACTACATGCCCTTGCTACACCCACACAGGTGGTTTCACTTAATTAGATTAGAGCTTTTCTTAGGACTGTGGAAGCGTCTCTTGACTCATTGACGTCTCTCTGACCTTCCTGTTACTTTGGTTCAATCTGTGATGCTATGAACATACTTGGTTTTAACCATACTATAATATACAATATACAGGATGGCGACCCTGTGCATGTTGTGTTCTGTTAGAGTGTTGTCAGTCCATATCCTTTAAAAGTTAAGAGCACAAACAGCAGGGACAGAATGTGAAATGACGAAAACAATGGTAGAAAGAGAAACAAATCTATGATGTTGCAGCTTTTTCTGCCACAACTCATTTTTAGCTGTATTTTTGTAGACTCCTAGAATATAGTGCAGCTTTCTGTCTACACTATTGTTGTTACTGCTAAACTTCCTGTCTCCTCTCCTAGGTATCAGTGTGATCAGTGCCCCTATCGTTGTCACCGCATGGATCAGCTAAATAGCCACAAACTACGACATCAGGCCAAATCGCTCATGTGTGAGATCTGCGCTTATGCCTGCAAGCGCAAATATGAGCTTCGCAATCACATGTTGGCCAAACACTCTGGAGAGGAAAAACAGCCGTCCGTCTATAAGTGCAAATACTGCACATACACCACCTGCTACCGACAAGCACTTCAGAACCATGAGAACTGCAAACACACCAAGCTGAAAGAGTTTCGCTGTGCTCTCTGTTTCTATTCGTCGTTCAGTAGCATCAGCCTCTTCCTGCACAAGAGGAAAGCTCACGGGTATGTGCCTGGGGACAAGGCATGGCTGGAGAACTACGCTGCAAAGGAGAAGGAGAGGAACTCAACGGAGTTCTCGCAAGATTTTTACAATAAGCGTTCAACAGCTCCTGAGCTCTCTGATCAATCCACTCAAGGACATCCAGCATCTCAGCAGAGAGAGCAGTCTGGTCTTCCTGGTGCAGGAGATCACAGTGCGAGCAAAGAGAATGTGCCCGGATCGCAGACTGTGGATGCCGTAAATGTTTTTGATGTTGTTTCTGAAGAGGTTGGTCACAGTCCTCCTTCTGTCAACAGTCAAGAGGAGTACTGTACTCTTATTTTGACTACACTATCCACCACTGATTTTCAAACGCCCTCGTTGCAAAATGTGGAGGAAAACTGTCCAAATCCAACTCCAAGGACATCCACCTCTGGTACATCTAAAGAAAAGGCAGACTCCTCTACATCTGCAAGTTCGTCAGAGGAAGATAATGTGGCGATGGTCCATGAAGAGTGGGAACTAAGTGACTTAGATGACAGCTATAAGCCTCTGAATACTTCAATCAGTCAACCAGTTGAGCCTGAGAGGCGTCAAACACCTGAGGCTCAGAGTGATGATGAAGCAACCAGCTCAGTTTTGCCACCTGAGCAAAGTCATCCATTAGACTCTGAAGTCCGTCGGAAAGCTATGAAGAAGCACGACAAGGACCAGGCAGACGCCATGCTTTTAGAGGGACGGGTGCAGATGCTCGTGGTGCCGACTAAAGACCTAGTTTATCGCTGTGACAAGTGCTCTTATGTAACCTTCGAGGAGACGGCTTTGAAGCACCACTGCCAGACTCTGTGCCGTGGAAAGATGAAGGAACACAAGTGCCAGGCCTGCGGTGCACAGTTCAAACAGAGGCGAGGCCTTGATAGTCACCTCGCAAAGAAGTGCCCAGCATTCCCCCGAAAAACAAGGACATTTGTAGGAATTTCAAATGTATGTCTCGCTACAGAGGAGAGCTCTAGTCAGGGTAAGGAGGGATCAGAAAAACTGGCTGAGGGAAGAAATTCTGATCAGACAGAGTTTCAGTCTTCACAAAATAAGATTTCCACGGACTCAAATAATCAGGGATTTCATCAGCAAGAAGACGAAGTATGTGCATCTCATTTAACAATCAGCGAAGGCTTTGATGATAATGCCCCTACATCCACTGGAACAGGACATCAGATAAATAAACCTTTGAAAGTGAGGCTTGTGAAGAAACAGTTAGCTTCACGCAACAAAGACAGAGATGTATCGTTGCAGAAAAAGTCTCTTTACACTAAAAAAGATGGGAAATTTAAATGCAAGTTGTGCAACTTTTCATCAGTCAAGCTTGCAACAGTCGAACGGCACCTCTCAACCTGCCAAAAAAAGTTTGGGAAAAGAGAGAGTCGGATCCTTTCAGAGGATGATGAGTGTGATAATGAGGCAGTGAGAGAAAAAGAGCACTCGGTGGATGAGGACAGTGGAAGAACTAAGAAGAAACATCAAGTGTTCTCCTGTCCAAGCTGTGGATTTCAGTCCAATCAGAAGACAGCACTAGACAGCCATAAAAAGAGAGGCTGCATGAAGCCAGATGAAGTCCAGTCATCTGTAGACAGATCTAAAATTTCTTTGACCCGTCACATTCTCTCTGTTCAGAAAAAAAAGAAGTTTAATGTTGCTAAACCTAAACATTTGCATTGCCAGCACTGTGCTTTCACCTGTAAGCAACAGCGATGCATGACACAACATGTCGCACTCAAACACAATGGTGTCAGGCCTCACCGTTGTCGATACTGTCCCTTTGCCACCACGAGGCGCTATCGACTGGAAGAGCACGAGTCTCTGCACACAGGACTCGGTCGTCACAAGTGTGATGTGTGCGACAAGACCTTTGGGGCTGTGACCAAACTGCGTCAGCACAAGATGCGCATCCACGACAAACAGCCCACACACTTCTGCTCACTGTGTGACTTCTGTGGCTACACGCTTGATGATGTGAGGCGGCACAACCTCAGATGCCACACGGGGGAGTTGGAGCACGCTTGCACTCATTGTGATGCTCCCTTTAGTTCAGAAATTGCATTAAGAAATCACTGTAAACGTAAGCACCACCTCGAGGTCTGTTTCTCATGCAAGCAGTGTGACTACACATGCAGCAGCGAGGTCACGCTGAAGGCCCACCAACAAAGCAAGCACCATCAGGTGAAGTGCACCACCTGCCAGGAGTCTTTTGAGACAAAAGAAAGCCTGGAGGTTCATCAGAGAACCCACCTAGCACATCAGTGCCAGCTGTGCTGCTTCGCCGCTAAAACGAGGCAGCTGTTAGCTCAACACCTTCTGAATGAACACGAGGACGGGCCTTTGGAGGACAAGCCTCTTAACTGTAGCATTTGTCAGTTTGCCTGCCGGCATCAGTTGGTGTTAGAGCAGCATCTCCGCTCACATGGGGGCAAGCGTCTGTACAAATGCACAGACTGCGAGTATTCAACCCGCAACAAGCAGAAGATCACATGGCACATTCGCATACACACCGGGGAGAAGCCTTACAGCTGTGAGCAGTGCAGTTACACCTGCACGGATCCATCTAGGTTGAAGGTAAGCTCAAAGTTTATAGGATGATCATTATTTGTAAGATAAACCCTCAAACACACTTCCTTAAAAAGGCTGTTTTAGATGGAATATGATGCAGTTTGTTCTGTTTGTCTTTCTTCACAGGAGAGAGTGTGTATTTGTCGGTGAGATAAGCTTTTAATGGGTTCAGGGACAACTCAAGAATCCTTTTAATTTAGTGATTCATCCCTAATTACTGTTTGTCTCATCAGTAGGAAGATGAAGGGGAGCATCATGTTGAATAAGATTGACTCTTGAAAGACAAAGTACCACATTAATGTCTCATTCAGACTCACAGACGCATTATAATGGCCACTAATATGATAATAAACTGTAGTAATTGTATATAATCACTACAATATTGATGCTGCTGCTCTGGCAGTTTTCCCTCTCCCCCCTGTCTCGTCCTCTACTCCTGCCACCCCACTGCTGGACATCTTCCCTGTCTCTCTGACTGAGTGAAATCATCATCATCAGTCTAACAATAATGGAAGAAAACAGCCTACCAGTCACGTAATCAGATTGTGAGGTAAACCTGTGTGGAAAACATCATTTGCTGTTGGCACGTTGCCAATCCAGCAGGTTTGGCAATTTGCAAACAGCTGACTTTATCTGAGGTTAGATTTTCATTAACTCAACATGAGGGTGAGTGGTGGTGTATGGCCAGTGAGTCCAGCAGTTCGTTCATGCTCACCACAGTTGATAGGTACACAGATGAAGAAACCGACAGGGTCTGTAAAAGGTTGCGACCGTCCGACTATGGCACAGAGGAAGAGGGGGGAGGACAAATGAACCAAAGAGCAAATTTACTTGCTTCTTATGATACACATCAACTTTCTGGTAATATACTGTGCCCTATTTGTTTGAAGTATGAACTCAACAGATGGCCAATTCTTACTCATTACCCCATTTAACATCTTTTTTGAAGTTATTTTTTTAAACAAACTAGTTACAATGGAAAGGAAAGATGACACAGTGCATGTTGTTTGTAGATATTTTCCTATAGCCATAGACATTACAACCTTTCCATCTGCTGTGCAGGTTGTCCACCGGAAACCCTTCTTACTCAACGTCCCTGTTTGTGTGGTTTCTCTGTTTGTGTGGGGCACTAAAATATGGCAATCAAAAAAATCCTGCACAGTGTCTGACCTGCAGCCAACAGTTTATTGCGACGTTTCGGTCTCACAACAAAAACAGTTAATAAATTGTTTGCTGCAAGTCAGACAGTGTGCGGGATTTTTCGATTGCCACTTTGGATCCCACATCCTCTTCCTACGCAGCTGCCTCACAGAATACATGTGCAAAGTTTTCTCCTGCTTTGGGGCAGTAAAATATGACATTGACTGGAATCCAGAAACCACAGCACAATGACAGTGATAAGTGTTGTTTTATTTTTCTTTGTTTTGTAATCATTTCTACCACAGCTTCATATGAGGGTTCACCAAGAAGAAAAGAAGTACCTGTGTCCAGAGTGCGGCTACAAGTGCAAGTGGGCGACTCAGCTGAAGTACCACATGACCAAGCACACAGGTATCAGCTGCAAATAAAAGTTGATGATAATAGTAAATCGGTACTTGAACAGTGATTTTTTTTTCACCTTTTTGTTTCTTCTTTTCTGCAGAATCTGCTATCATGTTACTATTTATGTTAATCATTTTTACTGCTAAGCAAGCAAAATTTTATTTATACAGCACAATTCCTTCCAGATGGAAGCACAATGTGCTGCACAAAACACGAATTATCAAGGAAGTTGCAACCACAAAAACTAGTGACACATAATATCTTTGCTCACATATTTTTGCATAGTTTTTAAAATGGTCACCTGAATTTAATGTAGTTTACAGATTAGTGTTAATAATTTTACAAAACATGTCTTTGCTGTGTGCAGGAGAGAAACCATATGCCTGTGATGAGTGTGACTATCGCACCAACAGAGCGGACACCCTGCGTGTCCACCGGGACACACAGCACTGCGACATGCGTCCTTACGTCTGTGAAAAATGCGGCAAAGCTTTCAAGACCAGTTTCATCCTGAAGACCCACCAGCGGCAGCACAGCGACGACCGGCCGTACACGTGCGGGTTGTGCAACAAGGCCTTCCGGTGGCCGGCAGGTCTCAGACATCACTACCTCTCGCACACCAGGCAGCAACCTTTCTGCTGCCGCCACTGCTCCTACAGAGCCAAACAGAAGTTCCAGGTGGTGAAGCATTTGCATAGACACCACCCGGAGGTGTCAGTGGAGCAGGGGGTGGTGAGAGACTCTGAAGCTGTTGGCCTGACCCTGAAGGAGGCTTTGCAGGGGACATTGGATGAGAGAGCAGCAGAGGTGGAGGAAGAGGGAAAAGCCACAAAAGTAGCAGAAGGAGTCGTTGAAGAGGATGAGCAAAGAGAGGAGGACAGCGAGACATGACAGTGAAGACAGAGCACAATACTGTATCATTGTTATCTGTCAGTATTTATATTTCACCGCTTGATTTCATTGTATTGTAAAAGGCTAATAAAACACATTAGTACACGTTGTGAAATGAAGGAATGTGGATTGAATGGTGTGTGTGTGTGTGTGTGTGTGTGATTTAACTTAATATAGAATAAACAAACTTTAATAAAAGTCAAACCTATTTGTAAGGTAATTTTATTCAGTGGTGTTGAACCATTCAGAAAGTGTATTTACAGACCTGTATACACACAGATTTACATTATACACAACATACCTTGTGGAATTTGTACATTAGCTTTAACTGTAGATGAACCAACATCATGCAAAGCTATGAATACTTTATAATAATAGGTTTTTAATATTGATATGTAGGAATTTTTTCACATTCTATCATTACATTTTAAAACTGGACTTTCCCAGGCACTGTAGTACACAGTACAGCACATTTAAAGGCAAACCGGTATATTAAGGCATTCAACACATGCAGCGATCCTTCATGTTCCTACATTATTAGATAAATTCAAATGAATGCTAGTGGGAAATATTTCGTAAAGAGTTGATGTGCAGAATTGCATGATATTGTCACGTCATTGCAGATGCAATATGGACTTATTTGACAGTCTCTGTTCATAGATTGGCCGTCAATGAGATGCATCAATCCATCTTTGTCACTGATGATCACTAATGATTCCAAACAACTGATCAGAACAATCAGTCTGCAGAGCATGCTCTATAAGAGAAACCCCAACATCTTTATTTCAGTAAATAAAGCTGAAAATCAAAGTCTGATTTCTGACATGTTACCCGCTGATTGCTATTTTAAGTTTGTGAAACGCTTGACTTTTAACCCAGATTTAAGTATTATATTCAAATGTTAAAACCCCTCATCACATTCATGGAGACATTTGAACTTGTGACCACCTCTGGCTTCAGATCCACTGGTCTGACTTCTTCATGTGAGCTCTGAGATGCTGATGTTGACGAAGACAGAGGAGGGAGGGATGGCTGTTCCATCTTTAGACAGCAGATGTATGTGACGGTATCCTGGAGAGATGAGGAAGATTTTAAACACAGTGGTACTGAGTGGATTTTGGGTTTTCCTGCCTCTGGAATTGAACATATTAGGACTAAATATTTACTAAATATTATCTAAATATTTAATAAAGATTGTAGTGAGCTGTAACCCCGGTGGTTTCAGTGTCAGACTTTGAGTCTTTACAGAGGCTGAGAAGAAAACGCACAATGTGATTTCTGATTGTGATTTCTCTGATGCGTTGATGCGTAGTCCTGACATTTTCACTTAACAGCGCTAGAGGTTTCCATCTGCATACTGGCTTGGCACATTTGATCTCTGATTAACAAAGTCATTATAATGAGAAAACGAGCTTTGTTATCTTGAGATAACGGGATAAAAAAAAATATTTGCGAGTACAGCCTTTCTGCTCACCTGCTTGGATGCACGTAAAAGGGAGAGTGAACTGTCCGATGAAGTCATTCCTGGACGCCTTATCGTAATCCTCCACGACAAAGCGAACCAGGGCCAGCTCAGGGGTGTGGATGACGAAATTTAGAGTTTCATTCCACACCGGGTTAAAACCTGCAGGTAGAAGCCAGTAAAGAAGAGAACGTGACTTTTTTTTTTTATCAAAATCATCCATCTGAATGAGGTACACATATCTGTATAAAAAATGTTGAACACTTCCTCACCGTTGTTGTTAATGTGACTGGTCTCTTCCTTGGCCTGGTCCTGTGGTACCCCATAGATCTCCACTCTGACCAGGGGGTCTACAATAGAGCCCTCTTTCTGGTTCACCTTTGGTAGCTGCTGTCCACTTATCACCTGATAAACACAAACATATTTATATATTAATTATAGAAATCACTGTGTTTTCTGCCTCACCATGTCAACCACAAAGACTCTAGACTTTCATGTATAGTTTTAAACCTGTATGGATAAGCGCAGTGGTCTGTGGCCTTGCCGCTCCTCAGGTTTCTCTGGACTGAACTGAGTGTTGCCGTCTCTCATGAAGTCAGGCTTGAGGATGTAGCCACAGCAGCTGTTCTGCCTGAACAGCCCGTCGTTCAGATCCATTTCCAGACCGGCTGTCTGGAAGTTCAAAGCCACTTTGGGACAGAGAAGAAAATGCAATTAAGTTTTTTTTCTTATTATGGCTGGCAGTATCACATGGTTTACCAGAATAAGAGATATTTATGTGGCTATCAAAGTTTATGAGAGGAGTCTTTTATCCAGAGCAGACAGCACCAGCTTGAAGCCTTATGACAGGAAGCGCCTGTCCTGTCAAACCCCTCTAGCTGTGGGGGGTAATATCCTATATTTCAACTTGACCTCTAACCTCCCTGCAGGATCTTCCCCTATACACTGTCACCAAAGAGACAATGGATTTATATACAGACGGGTGACAAATTAAAAGAAAAACCTCAAAATTTAGTGAAGAAACAAGAAGACAATAGCTCCATCCACAGAGCATGAGGGGTCACTGAACCGTTTGATGAGCATGAAAATGATGTGAATCTAATTTCTCTGGCCTTCACCAGATCTCAACCCAGTTGAACACCTATGGCAGGTTTTGGACTGACGCGTTAGACAACGCTCTCCACCACCATCATCAAAACACCAGATCCAGTCAAGGCAGATGTCCATCCACCCTGAGTCCGGTTCTGCTCGAGGTTTGGTGAAATGGTGCTATACAAAAAGAAATTCAAAAAAATTGGCTTGACTTGACCAAATGAGGGAACACCTTTTGGAAGAATGCTGTTCATCCCTCCAGTAGGGTTCAGACACTTGATGCCAGTTGGCACTGAAGCTGTTCTGGCAGCACATGGTGACCCAACACCTTACTAAGACACTTTACGTTGGTTTTCCTTTAATTTGTCACCTGTCTGTATGTGTTCCTGTTCTTGTGTGAAAACATTCAAATTGGACTGGGACTGGGCGTTCCCCGTTGGGTACTGGTCTACAGCACATGCCATGTAATAGCAATGTCCTCGGTTCAACTCCAGCTAGGACGTTTGTTGTATGTCATCACCCCACTCCGCTCCCTCCCCAGGTTCTCTGTCAGTCTCCACTATCAACTTTCAAATAAAGACAAAATGACAGAAGCAGTCATCTTTAACTTGCTGGATTGTGTTCTTCTCTGTTTAGATAAGCAGCTGGGCTTATAAATCCAATTCAAAGCAGTGGATGAATTAAAAATGCAGCAAAGTCAACAGGTGCTACTGATATTCGACAAATTAAACTGACAGTTGAACAGATGAACTGACAGGATCAAGCTGTCTTCATGTCACATGGGGATTACCTCCCCATTAAGCATTTCAGATTCCATCCTGAAAGTTCTTAAACAAATGCAGCTGAAAAATGATATGTAACTACATGTCTTTAGCCACATTCAAGTCAAACACAAACTTAACTGAGACTTCAGATTGTACACAGGGACATCAGTGATTTTAGGGAAAAAGTTTGGTTCAGACAGCAGAGGGCAGTCTTCCCCTCACCTATCTGACAGCCCACAATCCACATGTCCTGCGGGTTGTAGTTGGAGGAGTCAGTCCTGAGGCCACTGGGGTAAATCCTGCTCAGCTGCCTTGTGTTGTACTGCACAAAGTCTCCCCCTGTAGAGAGGGTTGAAGAGAATCAAGCTATGAAGCATGAACACAAAGAAATCAAATTGTTTATCTTTAACACAGATACAGTTATAAATCATATAATCATCAAAAGATAACACATCATAGTCATAAAACAAGTATGGTACTTTATCTGAGGAATGTGATTAAATAGTTCTCCACCCTTTTTCCAAAATGCACTGTTCCCTCATGCTAACGGTACCTGCTTCCTTAGCTAGTCTCTTGGCCTTGGATTCAGAGAATGAGGACATCTCATAGCATTTGCTGTGTAAACGAGAATACTCGAAGCCATGGAATTGCACACTCTTGCAGTAAAGCACCAGGTCTGACAGCTCCCTCGACAGTTTGGACTTGGATTTCTGCAAGAGAGGAGAATAAGATGAAAAATTAGCTGACAAATAATAAATAATAACTCCCCCTATAATTTGTTGCAACCAATCAGTATGAAAAAAGTTGGAAGCTGTTCAGGCTAACTAATAAGACTAATTAATAACTATCCAGTAAACAGCTGATAACTTGAAACACAACTGCCAAGCCTTACATGCTGACATAACCAGCAATGACTTATTAATTCACACAGAGTCGTTTAGTGAAAAATATATACAAAATATAGTGCTGACTATCTAATACTGAATTATGTAACAATAGGTTTGTGGAAAAATAAGCCATTTTTACATGATTCAATGATAAGAAGACTTTTTTTATATGAAGAAATTATTAAGTCAACCCATGTCAGTATTAGAGGAATGAAACAAGATGGCAGCTGCTAATTGGTTGTAATTTTGCATAGTTGTGGACAAATCACCAGGTAATTATTTACATTTTTTTTTCTCTTTTTACACTGTTTGTAATTTCATGCTTCATATTCATTTTTACTGAGGCAGGCTTTTTGGTTAGTGTGTCTAAATACCGCCTCTATTTCATTTTATTGCTTTTAATTATTATATTTACTTTTATTGTCTTATTTCTTCATCTTGAATGTTTTCACTTTTTTATGATGTAAAGCACTTTGTGATTTCTTTTATGTGTGAAAGGTGCTTTATAAATAAACTTAACTTATTTACTTACTTACTTACTTGGAGGTGGACAAATTTACCAGGTAATTATAATGTGATTACTGGCCTGTAATTTACAGGGTTACCTTTTTGAAAAGAAAAAATCCTAATCCTATACCGGGTATATTTCTCAAAGAAAGCTTTAAAGCAGCTAAGAAATCTGAGTAGAATATTTGTGATTCCCTCTCTCAGTGCCATCAACTCTAATGAAATGATTAAAGCCACAAATGTTCCCAGTTAATCTCTCACTGCCCCGCAGGGAAATGCTGTGGCTGCTGTGGGCCGTTCACTTATACAAGTGTGAAAATGAACACCCTTAAGCACTGCCTTGAAAATAAAATGTTTTTGGTTAAATATGAAATGCAGATTTAGATCTTTTAACAGAGAGCTGTTTTTTTCCCACAGCTGAGGAGAAGCACATTTTCTCACTTCAGTATCTTTCTTCTTTGTCTCATATCTGTCTTTTAAAAATCCCTGTTTCCTGTTTCTTTTCACTATCTTCCTTCTTCTACTCCACTCTCGTCTTCCCATGTCCCAACCCAGTTTCCTGTCTCTCTTTACTATCAATACTCCTGTCAAGCTTCACTACTTCCTCTGATACCATTCTCTGTCTCTGCAGATCTTTCATCACTTGGATGCTTGGAGCATTGGAGAACAATGCCAAAAATAATGAAATCTCTTTGATATTAAACAAGTTAAGAGCAAGAAAGCTGGGTCAGAAAGTGTCACATGTACCTTGTTATTCAAACACTCAGCAGGTGGGTCTTCTGCAGACGGACTCTCTGCATCACCGTTTGCCATCTCTTCCTCATCGCTGACTTCATCTGTCAGGGTTTCATCAAGACAGTTTTCTAGACCACCAATCTTCTTGGCTTTCAGCAAAATTTTCCCCTTCAGTTCCTGTAATGAAACCCAACAAACAGTCTGTCCACTTGTCCTTTTAATCTGTGGTATTTAATTTGCAAGAGCAAATGAGGAAAATTGAGACTCTCATTTAATCCAGATACATGAAGAATGGGGGTTGGGATGCGGGAAGGACCAACAGGATGAGCTGAGAGAAAACTCACATGCCACCATCATCAGTACTTGTTGTCCATCTTCTTGCACTTTGCTGTCTCCTAACTAAACGTAGCAATGTGAAGCTATTTAATTGAGTGCTAGGTGAAATTCTGCATAGCAATTATCTGCCATTACTTCAAGTTAGCATTGATTGTCCTAAGTGCTCTAACGGAAAAGGGTTTGGAAGTTACAGTATACGATTGATTTTAGGACCAGTATAAGAATGATAACGAGGCACACATAGACCATTAATATTTAAAATGTCTCTGTATTGTTAATGGTACCTAAGCCTCCCTCAGTTTGGGCAGGGTATTGTCAGAAAACATTTTACTCTCTAGATATTATACTAACTCAAAGCAGAATGTTTTCTGAAACTTCATATCAAACTTGAGAAACATTAAATGGACTCCACTTATATAGTGCTTTTAGTCTTAGAGACCACTCAAAGCCCTCTACAATACTTGCAACAATTTCCTACTCACACATTACACCCATACACTGATGGAACAGGCCAAGACTGGAGGAGTTATCTACGTATGTATGTATGTATGTATGTATGTATATATGTATGTATGTATGTATGTATGTATGTATGTATCTAGCTATCTATCTATCTATCTATCTATCTATCTATCTATCTATCTATCTAAATAGTGTAAAAGCCATACAATGTATTTGAAGATGAAGAACAGCCTTGCTTACCACTCTGTGCGGGTGTACTGAGGCACAGCAATGCTTTGAGCTAAATGCTAACGTAAACATGCTAACATACTTGCAGTGGCAGTGGGAACATGTTGTTTAGCAGGTCTAATGTTGACCATGGTCATCATTTTAGTTTAGCTTGTTAGCATGCTAATTGCTATTAGCACAAAACAAAGCAAAGCTATGCTGGTAAAGTTTTGCAGGTATTTGGATGTAAACCAAAGAACTGAACAAACTGATTATGACCTGATGATGGCACTAAGTGGAAAGTCAGGATGTCACCAGAGTTACATTAGATTTCATCTTCTGGGGATCATGAATGTCTGTACAGAATTTTATGTCAATTTATCCAATAGCTGTCAAAATATTTCAGTCTGGACCAAAGCAGCTGACCAACAGACCAACCATTGACATCTATAGAGAGCAGAGCGTAGATTAAAAAAACATGACTGGGTGAGGTTGTGCATACTGTGTGGACTAGGTCTAAACAATTAACTGAAAAATCATTGAAATCGAAAAATAACCAAGTGCAATATCCAAATTGCAGAAGTTGCAATGTTTTTGATAAAGGTCAAATGTGACCATAAATGAAGCACTGTGGTATGATAATAATTGCAATATGAATTGTTTGCATATCGTTCAGCCCTAGTATCATCACTAAAAGACTAAAATATGTCAGCTACTATTGGATACATTGCAATGACATTTTGTACAGACATTTATTGTCCTCAGAGGATGTATCTTACTGACTTTGGTGATCCCTTTGCATTTCCTCTAGCACAACCATGAGGGTGACATTTTTGTTTTTTTAGTGAAATGTCTTGACAACCATTGGACGATCAAAACTGTCATTTGTTCCATACTTTGGAATATTTATCAATTTGGTTTTGTTATGACTCATCATTCAAGCCTTTTAGAGTCACTAGCATTTGTGCTCCTTTTACAAGTTTTATGACATGTTGCAGGGAAAAATGAGTTTCAGAGCGCCTCACCCTACAAAGAGTACTTTGGGGGAAAAAAAGGAGATAAAAATAACAAAACCCAAACAGATTCTAACCTGTGGAGAAGGAAGCTGCTGAGGAATCTGTCCATCCAGCAGGGTGGTCAGTAATGTGTCACCCAGGATTTGGCTGAGGTGCTGAGCCATGACGGTCTGCTGCTCGACACCACAGTGATTCTCAAGAGACAGGATGACTGGGAAGTCTGACGCCTGTCAGAGAGGATGAGCAGAAACGACACTGTTAAAATGAACAAGTAGCTATTTTTTTTTTTATTTATGTTGAAATTCTTTCAACTCTGGCAAAAACAGTGGCAAATTACATTACAGTATTATATCTGCTTTCCATTCAGCATAAGTTTCCACAGTTTCTTCAACATATCCTTCTAAAGTTGGGTAGGAAAGTTTGAGCAGGATAAAGTGGAGAAGTGGAGACACATGAGAAGTTCCTGGTCGTGTTCCATGTAGGTCAGTGTGCAGGGGTATGTTGGACTCCAGGGGCAGGGAAGGTTACCAACTGCTCCATCTGGACTTAACACTTTTCTGGGCACACAGACAGTGTTGCACATGTAATTTAAAAATCAGCTTAGTGTGGTATTGAAATAGCTGGTTTCAAGATATATGTCGGTGAATTCTGCCACCACCTCAATACAAAGGAGGTGACTCAAACTTCACAAGTCTCACAGCATTGACAAATGTCAACAGCAACATATATTTCCAGAAACAATGCTCCTGCCATTCCGGACAGCCCATTTGATTTATGTTTCATTCTTTATTTCATTCTTCGTTTCATTTTTTTTATACCTGACTGGGCTGCAGCGTGCTGGATACCAGTAAATATAAGTGATAACATATGTTTTCTATAGAATTGAGTGAACCAAAGCTTAATAAGCAAATAGTGCATGTGCTGCTCACCTTGAAGGCATATTCCTTGAGTGTTGAGATGATGTCTCTGAAGAGAATCTTGGATGTCAAAGTGTGACCGTGATACACAACAGGTTCCCCGTCGCTGCCGTCCCAGGAGTCCACCTCTACACAGCGACAGCCTCTTTTCAGAGCCCTGTACACACATACAAATGTAAGTAAAGAGCATTGCTTTTTCTTGTTTTAATGTAAATGTTACACTTCCACCCACTTTGTCTGTTTAAAGCAAGGCTTCAGATAAAGTGGGATGGAATTGTGGGAAATGTATTGAAACTCATTTTGTGTCTCATGGGTGTATAGGTCTTTCCCAGCTTTTGTTTTAACATTAACAACGCTCTGTCAGCCTAGTAACCCTAGTAATCAGCCTTTCATACACTTTAATGTGCTACCCTTCTATCATTTGCAAAGTCTTTGTCCTATGTGTTACGTGTGTGGTGTGTGTGCAGTGGTCCTCACTGGATGTATGCCTCTAGGCTGCTCTGTCCTCGGAGCTGGTTCTCCAGGAGGTAGGTGTTGTGTGAAGAGGAGATGAAGTAGTGGCTGAGCGGCTGGCTCATGTCCTGGTAAAGACCCCGATGCTCAGGTTTGAATATGGAGCCCTCCTGTGAGCACAGGTACATCTGGAAGCCATCTAGTGACATGGCGCTTTGCTTCTTGGCTGCACAGAGGGATACAAATGGAGTTGGCGCAGCATAGTTCAGATTTATTTTCCCATAAACCTTTGACTGTTATTCAAACAATGAATTTCCAAAAATTAAAATTAGAAAATCTACCATGACATTAAATAAAAGTTTTTGCTAAGGGGCTGGATACGGTTTCATTCATGGTTTAATGGGGTTTAATAAATAAAAGTTGACTGGAAAGAAAGGCATACACACACTCAAATAGTGCATCATATTTATTGCAGGTGCTCATTCACAAAGACCCTCAGGCTTTAAGGCCATGCTAGCTGGTATGTGGCTCTGCAGATGGCAATGTCTGTTTGTCAGGTGGTTGGTCAGTCCACCACTTTGGTCCGGACTGAAATATTTCAACAACTTCTAAATGTATTCCCTTGAAATTTTGTTCAGACATTCATGGTTCCTACAGAACAAAGTCTACAGACTTTGTTGAACCCCCTAACTTCTTCTCTAGCGCCACCAGTAGGTTGACATTATTAGTTTTGAGTTAAATATCTTAATAATTATAATAATGATAAAAACCATCGAATTTCACTGGGATACCATAAAGATGGGGGCTCTGCTCAGGGTTTAAATTAATTGTGAAATCATTGTAATTAATTGTTAATGTACGACACATAAAAGCAAAAATACACATGTATTGTACAATAGCAATATATGACTGAAATGTGAAACCTTAAAATTTAGAAAACATCATATTAAGCGCTCTAGATACAAAAAGAAAATCAGATGTGAAATATATAGGATCAACCCTTAGTAATTCAATGCTAATACCAACCTTTTCTGATGTACAGTAGATGTCTACTGCACATACCTGTATATTGATGTGTGTGGTAGGTGTAAATCATCAAAGGCAATAAAACAAAGTGCTACTGCTCTCTGAAAGATACTGACAGAATATTAAATATTTATTTATTCATTATTAAACCAGCTTATGAATGTTTCTGTCACTAGGATGCACAGCTCTCAGTCACAGCCACCTTTACCTGTCTCCGATGGTTCATAGCGATCTATTAGCTCCTGGGCGTGCTGGGCGCTCTGCTCTCCCTCATGTTGCTCTATCCTCAGGAAGTTCTCCAGCTCCTCCAACATTAACTTCTCTCCATCTCCAGAGTAGTCCTGGAACACTTTCCACACTTCATCCCTCTGCGTCAGTATCTTGTAGAAGTGGACAAACTGCTCGATTTCCAGAGAGCCACTCTCTGACTTATCAGCCATCTGTGGAAGTAAAGGAAGAGTTTTGTATTTGTTAGATTATTTGAAAACGACTGGCTCTATTTTAAAGAAATATGTAAGGCCAGTCCCTCCAGCAACTAAAGTGCTTGACAGCTCATTCTTGAAATAAACCAAATAAAAGCAAATTCACAGAATGAAAACAAGGTTGACAGTCAAAACATTTGCTTCAGGTGAATCACTAATTCTCCTCCATCTTCTTACCCTCACATTTTTAATCCTCAGATCAGAAACTTACCGTGAAGAGATAGAAAGCGTGTTCCTCATTCATGTCTACGTTCATCATTTTCAGCAGTTTCCGCACTTCTTTGAAATTCATCTTCCCATCTTTGTTTTTGTCAGCTTTCTGAAACCAGTCCCAGACCCATCTGAGAAGACGCTGAGGGAAACTCGAATGTGTTGTTTAATAAAGACTCTAATTTAAAGAACTTCATTTTTCTATTCAGAACTTCAAATATGTGAATATCTGGGGAGTTGTACTAGAAAATCAGATGTCCACTGTTGAAATAACCTGATTGATTGCACAAACTTAAAGGGGAATGAATAGTTTCCACTACTTGGAGCTTTGTCCAGAGAAGAGAAGGTATGATTTTATCAGTCAACACCAGAATAAACACTGTTGTTTTTCATAAAATTCCTAACACAGGAAAAAGATACTGGTCCAGCCTCTCCTTCTCATCCATTGTTTGAGCCTTGTGAATTAACTTGCGCACTCCCTGGATCCAGGCCCGGGCCTCCTCGGGGGACTCCGCTACGAGGTCCAGGTTGCCTTGGCGACCATGAAACACTAAGGTGAAGCAGAGGTCAGCGGGGAACTCCTCAGCGATGCTCAGCAGGATTTCTGACTGGTGGCCCTCGCGCACCGTCTCCAGCTCGCTCACTGAGACTGTGACAGGATCAGTCATGATGAAGACATAGTTCAGTTTGAGATTACACTACTTTCAGTCTTTAATACGTTTCATATGCCTCTGTGCGCGGTTTGAAGTTTAGCCAAAACGATCTCAACTTCAATGATTAAGAGGAGTATGTTGGGGTGGGGGTGGGGTGGGGTGGGTGGGGGGGGGGGGGTTTAGTACTCTAACAAGTACATACAAAATCATAACAAATCTTGAACTCAGCCTATTAATTATTATTGGATTACACCCCCCACTTTTGTATTTTGTATTTCTACCAATCTGTAATAACTATCTAGCCCTGGGCTACACCGATAAACTTAATTAAACTTTTCTGTTGCTTTGCACACACTTTATAGGAACACCACTGTACTGAGGTGAACTTCTTAAAGCAATAGTTCAACACATAAATAAACATATTTGCTTTCTTGCAGAGTGTTAATGAGAAGACTAGTGCCACTGTCATGTCTGTAATGCTGTTTATCTTAGCTTAGCTTAGTTTAGTTTAGTTTAGTTTAGTTTAGCTTATCTTAGCATAAAGACGGGAAACAGGGGAAACAGCTAGCCTGTCTTTGTCAAAAGGTAACAAAATCATCCTGGTAACTTCCTGGAGTCTTCGCTGGCTGCCTGGCAACCAGTCCTGGACATGAAATGGAGCTTCACGTGATGTTTAGTTAGGACCATGGGGTCAGGAAAGAGGGTTTCTGCACAGCCTGGGAGGAAATTCTCCTCTTTCAAGTTCACTTTTTAAGGTTATTCTTTTTTTTTGTTGGCGTTTTTGTCTTTATTGTATGGATGATAGTAGAGAGGCAGACAGGAAATGAGGTGGGGGGGGCAGAGGGGTATGACATGCAACAAGGTCCCTGACAGTAACAGAACTAGGGGTATGTAGGGTATGTAGTGTGCACATTAACCACATCACAGGAGTGCTCTCAAGTTTTTTCAATTTCAAGGAACTTGAACTCTAAATAATATGACCTATGTACAGGGAAGAAATTAAGAGTTAATATGTCAGAACAGTCACGCATGCAAACACATGTCCACACTTCTCTACTCACAGGTGGAGTGGCATTTTCCCGCCCATCTGGATTTGTACCAAATCGTCAGACCGTCCTCCAGAAGGCGGAAATGCCGCTGCTTCTTCCAGGACCGGGACTTGACTTTTCTCAGAGTCGATCCTGCCATCATCACCTTGACATCTGGATCATCTTGGATACCTGCACAGGTCGTGTAAAAAGTCAAGAGTTATGATCATGTCATACCTTAAATACTACAACCTCAGAACTGATAGGCCAGCGAGAGGGACAGTAGGTAAATATTTATAGTGATTCAATATTATGATTACAATATATGGACTTAACACTAAACATTCATTAGACCATAAATCATCACAAATTATGCATCTTCAGTCTGAATGAATAACATTTACTCACGAGAGCCTTCAGGATCCATCGCTATCCTTGAATCATGCCAATGGAAATTTGCTTCTAAAAAGAAGCAGATGTTAGTGAATTGTCCCAGATGTTTTAAACAAAACCTCTGTGTTTATCCAACTCCTCCATAAACTATGTGAATACAAATAATCACAGTTTAATATTAATCTTCACTTTTCCACATAAGTTCATATTGTTAGTAACAAAAACGTCATGTCTCTCTTCTTGGACACTGAGTTTGTTACTTGGAACAAATGATTCAGTATATCACAGAGAGGAATCTTGATAGGAGTTATTAAGGAAGGATATTAGTACTACACTTTACTCACAGAGGATTTCCCTGCTGATACAGAGATGTGAAGCATGTCTATCCATCACCTTCAATGACCAGCCATTCTGTTGTGTCTCACAAAATCCCAATCAGATGGGCAGTAGAAGTGAATTCTTAATGTTATTTTTGACTACAACATCTGGGCTCAAACCCCTGTGTTGGACAGTAGCTGCACCGCTGAAGTGTCCCTGAGCAAAGTGCTGAATACTCACCGGCTACTGTTCACTTGCTGACCCTGACATCTGTGATGTGGAACTGGGACAAACAAACATACGGTTCCCTCAAAAGACCATTTAAGTTAAAAAACAGAGGATACTGACACAATCTGCTGGTATATAGTAGACTAGACTATCTGCAGTCGAACTGCCAAAGTCTGTCCAAGATATAAGAGTCAGCATTTAAATCTGGATCCTGTCACGCCATCAATCTTTACACGTTCATTAGCTGATTAGAAGCAAGCAGACTGAGAGGCTCATGCAGGCAGCATGGTGACAAAGAACCCACACACACACTCAGCAGTCTGTGCTTCCCTCAGTCTGCTCACATAGAAACCAGAAGAAGACAAGATTCATTTTATTTTATTTTATTTATCTACATGTGATGGGAATGCAGTCATTCAAGATTATAATTTCAAATTGTTTTGATTGTTATGACTACCAAAAAATCTGCAAAAAACATGCTGTCAAAAAAGCTTTTATATATATTGCTGTTAAACACTGACAGTGTGGCTGCAGTTAGCTAATTCTGTCGGTTGTCCACCAGACTGTAATATCCCAACAACTAGGGCTGAACAATCACTCACAATATTATTGAAACCACAATGTGGCCAAGCTCAATATGCAAATTGTTGGAGCTGCAGTTTTTTGACAAAGATAAAATGTGTCACAACAGACCATTAATGAAGCATTGTGGTGCTTCAGAGATGCCGTGCCAAACATCATAATCTGCAGATGTAAGGACACGTTTGTTTGGTTCAGACCCCATCAAAAATGATATCATCATCATTTTAATTTTTTTTTTCAGTTAAACACTGTGTCACACTAAAATGTAACTCATATCACTATGTCTGTCAAAATAATTGCAATATGAATTTTTTTACACATTTCGTTCAGCCCTACCAACAACTATTATTGACTAACTATGTATTGCTGTGATGTCACTCATGGTTCCCAGATGATGAATCTTCATTGTTTAGGTTTCCTGTTGTGCCACCATGAGGTTGACATTTGTGAAATGTCTCCACAGCTATTGGAGGAAATTTGGTACACACATTCCTGTCCCAATCAAAATGAATTTTAATGACTTTGATGATTAACTTTTCATCCAGTGCTATCATCTGATCAAGATTTCAGTTAGTACCAAATAAATACAAAACTAATGGCATTCCCATCAGCCACTGCTGCACTTTGTGTTTAACGCTAATTAGGAAATGTTAGTATGATAACAAGCTAATCTCTGAATGTCTAATCTAAAATGTTAAACATTGCATGAGCATGTCTGTGTGCTGATGATAGCAATCCCAAAAACAAAGTCCTCAAAAAGTTTTTAACATGGCTGCAGACTCCCCTGTTGTTCACATGTGAAGGCAAACCTAAAACCCTGACGGTGTTGGTGCTTTGGTCGTGAAGCAAAACTTACCACACACAACACATTCAAGCCTTATACTGTCGTAAAGGGTTTCATTAAAAGTGGAGAAGATGACGCAGAAAAACAAATGCTGTGCAGAGTTTCTGATAATCAGTGAAAGTTAATGGACTCCTGTTATCTCTGTTGTTTGCTGTACAAATGTCGATCAAACACGTCGGTAAATGGGAGGTTTTCTAATGACTGTTTATCTGTATTCCTGTCTGACGGCTATCGTTTCCTTTCATTGTCTTCTGAAACAACAAGATCTAATCTTGAGCTCTCTGTGTTTCACTACCCCTCTGTGCCAGCCCCCCCCCCC